GCTGTTCACTGTAAAAAAATCTGAATCAAACTGATTGAAAATATTAAGTTAAACTTTGTGTAACTAAAAAGTTTTTGTTGATAGCTGATTAGCCTATCAAAATGAGTTCAGGTTTAATAAGTTTGTTGTCTTGACTTTATGTTATTAAATGGTTTACAGTGTAGAAAAGTGTTTGACAAAATAATCAAGGCAAATGCAGTAAAAAAAAAAAAAGAAAAATTTGACTAGCACATTTGTGAGCAAAGAACATCACAAGTGTGTACACTATTGTTTTTTTTTTATTTTATTTTTGAAATTTAAAAATGCAAGAGGGTGGCATGGTGGCTCGGTGGTTAGTACTCACAGCAGGAAGGTCACTGGTTCAAGTCCCGGCTGGACCAGTTGGCATTTCTACCAGGAAGTTTGCTTGTTCTCCCATGTTGGTGTGGGTTTCCTCCTGGTACTCGGTTTCCCCCACAGTCTAAACACATGCGCTATAAGTGAATTGAATAAACTAAATTGGCAGTAGCTTATGAGTGTTTGTGCGAATGTGAGAGTGGGTGTTTCCCAGCACTGGGTTGCAGATAAAAAAGCATCGCTGCATAAAACATATGCTGGATAAGATGGCGGTTCATTAAGCTGTGGAGACCCCTCATAAGGGACTAAGTTTTTAAAAGTTTGATACTCTTAAGCTGCTTTTCCACTCACACGACAAATAACAAGCGACAGACAGAATGTCATTAATTTTCAATGGAGTGTAGTCCGGGAGCTGCGTGGAGTTTCAATCATCTCTGTATGAGAAAAATTCGGATCCGATTTGAGCTGCGGATTCTTAGAAATATTTGAATTCCTGCGACTAGACCGTATGTTACCAGTCGACTGGATGTGATGTATTCCAGTGTTGTCCAAGCAGGTCCGTGCGAGCGAAATGAGAAATAGAATTTTATCCCTTATTTTCATTCATTCATTCATTTTCTTTTCGGCTTAGTCCCTTTATTCATCCGTGGTCGGCACAGCAGAATGAACCGTCAACTTATCCTGCACATGTTTTTATGCAGTGGTTGCCCTTCCATCCGCAACCCATCTCTGGGAAACATCCATAAACACTCACTCACACTCATACACTACGGACAATTTATCCTACCCAATTCACCTGTACTGCATGTCTTTGGGGGAAACCAGAGCACCCGGAGGAAACCCACACAAATGCAGGGAGAACATGCAAACTCCACACAGAAACGCCAACTGACTCAGCCGAGGCTCGAACCATCGACCTTCTTGCTGTGAGGCGACAGCCCATTCATTCATTTTCTTGTCGGCTTAGTCCCTTTGTTAATCCGGGGTCGCCACAGCAGAATGAACCGCCAACTTATTCAGCATGTTTCACGCAGCGTATGCCCTTCCAGCTGCAACCCATCTCTGGGAAACATCCACACACGATCAATCATATACACACTACGGACAATTTAGCCTACCCAATTCACCTGTACATGTCTTTGGACTGTGGGGGAAACTGGAGCACCCGGAGGAAACTCACGCAAACGCAGGGAGAACATGCATACTCCAGACAGAAACGCCAACTGAGCCGAGATTCGAATCAGTGACTCAGCGACCTTCTTGCTGTGAGGCGACAGCACTACCTACTGTGCCACTGCGTCGCAGTTATATTTTTAATCTATTTTTTTTTCTATATTATAAAAGCATTTCTATTAATAAATGAGTAATATTTTATTTTAAATGTTTTCTCCATATTTAATCCACAATGTTTATGAGTTTCTAGTATTAATTAATTAATTCATTCAACCATGGTGAATGCACAGAGAATTAAGGCCCTTTTTGCACTTTATTCGGACATCATGAGAATCAGCTTCTCTCCCATGGTGCACGACAACACTGAAAATTCTGTGCAACTGCCACAAAGGGGCGTATTCCGACAGTCGTGTCCAAATGTCGTGTGCAGTGGAAAGCGGCATTAGATTGAACTGTAAAAATTGTTGCTGCTTATTTCTTATTTAATAAACTGAACTAGTAATCTCAATACACATTAGTCAAACTAACAAAAAAGTAAACCTTGTATAATTAAAAAAAAAGAATGTTGAAATTGATTGAAGTTGGTTAAAGGTGCACTCCACTTTTGGGAAAGTTTTAATGAATTAGTAGTTTCACCTTTTTGCGTCCATTCAGCAAAAATGAACAAACTCAACTGTTTGGTTAAAAAATATATAGCATTTAATTTTAATAGAAAAATATTGATTGACCCAACATTGGGCGTGTCAATATTTGACCAAACTTTGGGTAACGAAGACTCAGAACCTTTAGAATGTATGTCTATTACCAGGTTTTTCAGATGATTCATGTGCTCCACTCTATACAAATTATAGTATTTATTTTCCCTCAGTAGGTTTCAACTAGACAACTGCCCAGCGGCCATCTTGATGTTAAAACAACATAAAAAGACCACGTCAAAAATGCAAATCGATGTGATGTCAATTGACTAGTCAAAAGGATATACTGTAAAAATTACACATTGATGTCAAAAACACAATGAACGTTTATTTTTTGTTAGTAATCTTAATATACGTCAAACTAACAAAAAACTAAATAAAAAAAAACTATTTGAAATCCGATCCAATCTCCTGGTCAGGGAGCACTTTCAGCTTAGATTAGCATAGATCATTGAATTGGATAACACCATTAGCATCTTGCAGATTTTTGATATTTTTCCCTCTTAGGGTTTAGGTTTCACATTGCATACTAGGAAAATTAAAAGTTGCTATATTCAAGGTCAATATAGCATACTCTCATTGTGGCAAAGTAATCAAGGAACTTTGCTAGTACCGTGGCTGCAGCAGTCACAATGATATTGGGCAACAAAAGCATTGGGAGATCTCAATAACAGTTTAAAATGTATCATTTTCATGCATAAATAAAGAAAAAAGTACTTTTAACATTGCTGTTAGCTGCTGGGTTTTTATTGTTGAAATGCATAAGAGTTCTAGTAAAATCTGTGTTGAAAAGTTAATTTACAATATTTTTTAATAGCTGATGTTCAAGTAATATTTCTAAGTATTTCATTTACTCTATTTTACCCTAAAGCTGACCTGTAGCCTATAAACGTAAACATGTAACTTTATAAAATGGGATGACCAGATGTCTCTGTTCTGTGCGGATAGTCCTAATTATTTTGTTGTCTTGTTCCTGAGTAGTTGTTGTTTTTTTTATATAAAAATATACAAACATAATTTTCATTTCTTAAACCACACATGAGCTTTTAATGCTATAGGGCAATTCCTTTTAAATAAATTTTCATTCAGTTAATTTGTATTCATTTGTGTAATATCATTTATAAAGTTGTACAGTATGATTTGCTCATCCGCCAATACACTTGAAAAATATGGTGCTGCTTGTTTGTTCAATTAATGTAAAATGAGCTTAAACAACACAATTCTTGATGTTTTATGATATTGTAATTGTTTTTTTTTTTTTCATCTTTAATTCCTAAATTTGTTAGCATAATCTGTGCATATTGGGACAACCTGATAAAATTGAATGGAACTTTTACAATGTGTAATGAAGTTTTGGGACACAGAAATCTGGTCATCAATATTTAAGACTGTATCAAAAACTGTGTAAATAAATATTAGACTTGCTCAATCAGGATTTTAACTATCTTTAACTACTCTCTCTCGCTCTCTCTCTCTCTCTCTCTCTCTCTCTCTCTCTCTCTCTCTCTCTCTCTCTCTCTCTCTCTCTCTATAATAAGTATTCTTTTGGCAAATTTTAATAAACATTATGTAAATGTATACCAAAAGTTCTCTTGATATGTTACAAAATTAGATCTCTTTTTATTGAAAAGGTGTTTACATTGTCCCCTGTAATCTCTTATTGAATTAATACAAAGAGGGATTTGAAATGGTCTTTGCAACAAAAAATTTTCCTCACCAATAAGGTCAAAGTTTAAGGTCAAAGTGTTTTAAATGTTTAAGTGTTTAAATGTTTAAGTGTGTCTCCCATTAATAAATTTTCGGAAAATTCTAATAATGATATAAAATGTTAATTTTTTTCAATTTCATGCTGAAACTGCTTTTCTTTTGTTTTGGGATTGTGATTATGTTGTATAATTTTGGAAACATATTGGCTTATTTATTAATGATAATAAACAAAATGAGGTTTCTGTTATTTTTAAAGAAATTATTTTGGTTAATAGGAATGTGTCTCTACTAAAAAAAAAATGCTTGTTTTGTTGTACATTTTATTTATTGTCTTTGTAAATTTCATATCCACAAATATAAATTTACTAATATCAATATTTTCCTGTTTTTTGCAAAAATGTTGTCATTATGTACATTTTATTTCATTATCTGAAAATAAGAAAGCAAACAGAACCATTTCATTTTGTAATAAATTTAATTTATATACTGTAATTGATTCATAAATGTCTTACAATATATGTAAACTTTTTATTATAAAGTTTTATTATGTTCTTTATTATTATGTTCTTTCTTTCTATTTCTTTCTTTTTTTCTCTTTCTTGTATCTTTTTTTTTCATTGACAATGTAGCTAATTCATATTCTGTATTGTAAAAAATGTATTGTAAAAAATGTAAAATATGTATTCCCAATAAGAAAGCAAGCAAGAAAAAGAAAGAATGAAAATAAGAATCTTTGAGATGTTCACAGTGAATAAATCGTGTTCAGTTAAATCTGTCTGCTTTATTAATTAAAAAACATTGTCAAAAATGGTACACAATACAACGACGAAAAAACAAAAGGCCAGCAAAAAGTGCAAACCGGTACAGAGGAGACCAGACTCTCCACTCCATAAGCTCAAAAGGAAGGTGACGTAACTAAAAACAATGTTATTTCATTGGTGGAGCGAACCTTCGAAGGCGGAGCTACTCCTTACGTTCTAGAACCGCTTACGTTGATTGGATATTTGTTTAAATGCCTCCGCTCTGATTGGTCTGTAGTATGTCACTATCCACCAATCCCGATGAAGCGGAACTATTTGAAAATCGTGCATGAGCATCGCATTAATGGAACAGCTGGTCCTGTGTGACTCGCTGTTTAAACAGCGCAGGAGAAAGGTGAGTCAGTCTTCTGTATTATTGTTTTAAGTAAGATATACTTACTTGTGTAATGTCTGTATTTTTACGATCTTTACATATAAGTTAGTTCACTTTTTAGATTAGCGTACTGTTACAGTTACGACGTAAAAAGCCTTTTTGTCTATATTGTTAATGTACTATTTGCTGAAATCCTTAAACCAGACTATCGTTGAGAGAAAGTCATTGTTTTTAAAATGACGTATTAAGGAGACGGTTTACTCTAAGTGAAAATTGTAGTATTTAGTCACCCTTTACTTGTTTATAAACTTTGAGTTTTTTTCTTCTGAAAAAAAGTTGGAAACAAATGACAACCATGTTTATTCCTATATAGAAGACAACATTTACAGGTTTTTGGTTTTCCTCACAAATTACCTTTTGTGTTAAACAGAATAAAAAATCTCATGAAGTTTGGGGCACACTTCAGAGAGAGAGTAAATAGTGTAAATTGTCATTGCTGGGCGAACTAAGTTATCCATTTAAAGCGTACACTACTCTACTAAGTGCTTTAAGCTGCTTTTGTGTTTCTATTGAAGGGAAGATGCTGGGGCAGATGGAGCCAGCCGAGCTTCAGTGCACAGTGGCGGTGGAGCGTTTGAATCCTGCAGGTCAGGCCATCAAACGGCAGCTCATCCGCAAAGGCACCGTCACATTAGGGCGTAATGAGTTTCAGGAGATGATTCTGCGCGTCCACGACGGCAAAGCTCCTCAAAACTTCATGCTGCGCGACTTCCAGCTCTTTACGCGCTTCGCAAAGGATGGCAAATGCACTGTTAAATTCATCCCGGAGAACACGCAGGTCCTGGTCTCCGATTGTCCGCCGGACCGTTTGAAGATGTTCCTGAAGACGCTCAGCATCAAGCATCAGGCGTCCCAAAGCAGCAAGCCTTTGAGTGACCGGGAGAAACTGCGAGCTGGTCTTCCTAGAGCCTTTGAGACGGTCAGTCCTCTCCAGCTGAAAGATGTAGAGAAGGCAAACGAGCTGAGGAGCAGGGTGAACGCCCCAATGCAGCCCAGATGTCTGGCAGAGAGACCTGCCAATAAAGTTCTGGGTGACCGCAAACAAGTGAAAAGGCCTAGACCTGATTGTGATGCTAGCCCGGTATGTTTATCTTTTAATGTATGCCTACATGTTAATGCATTACACATTTATTACCCTGCTTGGACCACAAAAACAGTCATAAGGTTACATATCTCATAATGTGAAAGCTGTATAAATAAGCTGTCCATATAGTTTGTTAGGACAATATTGGGCAGAGATACAAATATTGGAGAATCTGAGGGTTAAGGGGAAAATCCAGACACTGGGAAAATCCACTTTAAAGTTGTCCAAATAAAGTTCTTAGCAAAGCGTTTTACTGCTCAAATAAAATTTTAAAATATTGACATGGGAAATTTACAGAATGTCTTTATGAAAATAATATTTATTTAATAATAAAAATGGTTATTAACATATCTGAATTGTTGGCTATTCCTACAAATAAACCTGTGCAACTTGGTTTTGTGGTCCAGGGTCACATTTTTTTGGTGTATTTTGATCTCTCCCACCTTAAAGGTCTTGTCATTTTCCATGGCTTTTACTGTGCTTGTGCACTGCCCTAAAGAATTAAAAAAAAAATAAATAAATAAAAAGGTACTCTTGAGACATCCGTAGAAGGAAAAAAAAATTGTCGAAGTGAATGGTTACAGGTTTCAAACATTTTTCAAATGATCATATTTCGTGTTCAACAGATTAAAAGTAAATAATTGCAGGATTTTCATTTTTGGGTGAAATATCCTTTAACTTATTATTATTTTTTTAATGTTATATATGAATCAGACATGTTTTGTCGTGTAATATAGCTGTTTGCAAAATTTCAAAGATTAATGTGCAAGATAATTTGAGTTTTAGAGTGGCAATGTATGTGAGAGCCATCATATTAAAGAAAACACTAACAAATGCAAAATCAAATGCTTTGTATAGTCAATTTTTGAAATGCCTTCCTTTTTGCTTGGTAGAAAATGGATTGGTATTTGTCTCTTCACACATGAAAAATCCCAGTAGGACACTAGAAATAATAATTATGTAGCATGTTTTTGTTGTCCCTCAAAACAAAAAACATTGAGTTCCCTGATTCTGAATCTACGTTAACACTGGGAAAGTATTTAGCATGATTGTTAATTCATTTGTCTCTTGTATTAATTTCAGGTTAAAGCACTTCACCCCAATAAGAAGCCTGTCTTGGTTTTGCCTGTTGCACAAAAGCTCAGCAAAGAACAAACTGCAGTTCTCAATGCCGTCTTGAGTGGCAAAAATGTGTTTTTCACGGGCAGTGCAGGTAATAATCTTCACTTTAAATTAATTTTTTTTATTTGTTCCTTTTTATCATGTTCTCAGGTCTTTTTAAAATTTATTTTATTAAAAAAAAATCTGTTACTTTAAACACCATTCTTCATGGCTTTATTTTATAGGTACAGGGAAGTCATTCTTGCTTAAAAGGATTGTTGGCTCTCTGCCTCCAAAAAGCACATATGCAACAGCGAGCACTGGTGTCGCAGCTTGTCACATAGGAGGGACAACATTGCACAGTTTTGCAGGTTAGAAACATTTACATAACTGACTATTTATTTTATTTATTGGTTTATTAGGAAAGCTGATAGTAATTTAATAATATATAAAATATATTAATTGATAATTAATATCAGCTTAGCTTAGAAAGCTTGTGTAATTTAATGATGGTAATTTAACAGTATTTAATGAAGATCTATTTTTCACCTCAACCATAATCTTAGGTGACTGGGTTTATTTCAGTGGTGTGGTCATTTTTCTGAAATGTGACATGAGACTACAAAAAGTATTGTTGCATGAGTATATTTTGGCAAACATTTATTTTGTGCTTAAAAATTTATAGAATGTTAAATAAAGATCATGTTTCATGAAAATATTTTGTAAGTTTTCTCCTACCATAACAATATCAACTTAAACTTTGCATAGGATTGTGCTTTGCGAAGCGCTTTTAGACCATTTTAAAGACTTTTTTTTTTTTTGAGCCCTCAGACTTCTATTGTCCTATCCTAACAAAGCATCAAAACAATGGAGAGGTTATTCATTTCATCATATTGCATGCATATCTCAAAACAAACTTTTGACATGTCATGTGGTCAATAAATTTCTCAAATCTATTTCTGTTGTTATTTTTGTGTCTTGTTTTTAGGTATTGGGTCGGGTTCTGCACCTCTTGAACAGTGTATTGAGCTCGCTCAGCGCCCCGGGGTACTGCGACACTGGACATCCTGCAAACACCTCATTATTGATGAGATCTCAATGGTTGAGGCTGAGTTCTTTGACAAACTAGAAGCCATAGCCAGGTAAAAAAAAATGCAACCCCATCCTCTGTCACAAAAAAAAAAACGCTCTTCATGATGGGTAATTCAGCACACTTTTTTCACAGATGGATAATTCTATTTAAAAATATCAATTACTAAGATAAGGGGTCTGATTTTTTTTTTTTTTTTTTTTTTTTTTTGAGGTGTTGTTTTTTAATGCTTTAGTGACTTTGATTAAAGGGCACATAGTTTACCCGTTTTTATGGTTTAATATTAATAATATGGTTCTTCTAAGTGTGCCAGTTTAAATTCAGGTCTATGTTGTTAAATTGAAAAAAAGTACTGGGTGTGTTTATATCACCACAATATGATGGTCTATACCAGGGATCACCAACCCTGTTCCTGGAGAGCTACCTTCCTGTAGAATTCAGTCCCAACTCTGATCAAACACACCTGAACCAATTGATAGTACCTAAAGCAGCACTTAATAATTACAAACAGGTGTGTTTAGTCAGGGTTGCAACTGAAATGTGCAGAAGGGTAGGTCTCCAGGAACCGGGTTGGTGACCCCTGGTCTATACACTATACTTGCACGGATGTCTGTCCAAACAGCTTGAAAAGTAGATTTTTCACCATAGGTGCCCTTTAATGTAATTAGTTGAATCTGAATTTGTCGCTCTAGATTTTGGGCTAATAAATGCCAGATTGCATTTGAATGTTTGACTCTGGTTTGGGATAGGAAACAGAATGTACCGATACCATTCCATTTATTCTCAAATCTCCCAGACTAATGAATGTTTTGTATTACTCTTTCTGAAGGAAAAAAAAACTCTAAAAAATGTCAACTTTAGGTTAGAGTTGCAATATTGTACCTGAGCAATTCCAGCATTATGGATGTGACATTTGCAGTGGTGCAAATGTCACATCCAAAACATAAAGTCACAGAGCAAGTATATGTTAATATTTGTATTGAAACATCTGTTTTTATTTACCAAAACAATTAACATAGCTTTATGGGAACAGAAAAATGTCAGTCTGTAAACATTTTCTATGCATTAAATGAGGAAAATAACATGCGTTATGCATTTATTTTTACTTTTTCTTTTAATTTATGAGGAAAAAGCTTTATTATGGATGTGACAGATTTCAGAGTTCATATGGTCATAAAAACCTGCAAAAGTCATAGAATTTTGACATTGTATTTTCCAGGCCTGGAAAAGTTTTGGAAAAACAGAAAAACCCTCAAGGTTTTGGAAAAGTCATGGAAGTTACTTTTACATTAGTCATTAAGCAGACGTTTTTGTCCAAAACGGCTTGAGCTGTGGTCACACTTGAGCTTGTGAAATTCTGTTACACGGTGCTGTGAAAAGGGCTGGTATTAAACCGTATGATTAGACGTTAATAAAAGTGAGTGATTGCTCCATATTTTCTATTGCTCTAACGCAATCACCTGATGCGATTTTTCACAGGTCAGAGTTCACCAAGTTTGAACTTTCGAATGCAGTGAAATGCAAAACGCACGTGCTTGCTTTTCTGGTCTGTCGCATTTGCACGCCTATGAATGAAAGTCTGTGGAACAAAAAGTGCAGTGTGATCACGGTTTTACAATAGAAGTAGTTTTAACAAATTATTTAGCTAATCTAAAATTACTTTGAGACCTATCTGTATACTGGAATGGAGGTGATTTGTTTTTACTGCTTTCCTAGGTGAAAAACATGGTCTCACATAATTAGTGCTGCGTAAGCATCATCTGTTACATAGATATAAAAATAAATTGAAACTAAAGAGATTGTTGCGCGTTTTATGATATGTTGTGATAAATGTAAACGTTTATTGTTGTTCTTATGATTTACCACAAATACAAAGACATTACATGAAACATTAGGTCATGAAAATTGACTTGAATATCTGGAAAAGTCATGGAATTTTTGTAGTGAAAATGTGTATTTGCTCAACCAAATATAATAGTTTGAAAACCTCAACAGAGACAATCGAGTACTTTTAAAGCAATGTAAAGTACTTGCTTATACAAAAAACGCAGAAATGATTTCAATATTTTGCCTTTTTTATGGCAAGGTTGATATTTGCATGGAATTGCTCACCAGTTTATTTTTATAGGTCCATCAGAAGATCCACAGAGCCATTTGGAGGCATTCAACTGATAGTGTGTGGAGACTTTCTTCAACTTCCACCTGTAACAAAAGGAAAGGAGAAAGCTAACTTCTGTTTCCAGGTACTACCTTCTTCATTCAGGCATGACATGACTAGGCATCAAGATACATTTTACCCTAAAATGGACTTTTACTTGTCTTCCAAACACAAGACTTGTCTTTACAAAGTAAAAATAGAGATGTTCACAAACTTTGAGCAATTTCTTTAAAAGTGAGTGACCATTTTCATTTCTTGATATCTATGTCTGGGTCAATATAAAAAGGATTCCTAAACATCATCAGATGTAATGTAGCTTTCAATATTTTTATATATAAGAAAGTGTTTTTCGGTGCAAAAATAATGACTCTCCCCATGATTAATAAACTAAAATGTCACACTGTAACAATTCATGCACCAGTCAATATGTCAGTCTTATTTAAAACGAGGCATTTCATGACATAGCAGACAATTATATTGACATAACAGACAATTATCTGGAAATCATTCTGTTATGTTGTGAAATATTTCTTGTTTTAAATATGACTGATATATTTTGTGGTCTGCACCAGTCAATAATTAATTATACTGTGTGTGCGTGTATAAATAAATTACTTTTTTGCTTTTAAAATCCTAATTTAAAAATCCTCCAATCCACTTAGTTTTACCAATTCAAGTTTTTAATAGTTTATTATTATCAGTTCTTCTACCATATATTTTAATAAGTACATGTCTGAAAAAAAAAAAGTGTAATGTTTTAAATAAACATTATGCTGAATAATACATTTACACCTGTTTTTCAACATTTTTATTTTGCCAAAGATTATTTGAAAAATTCATATAGATTCTCAACTTCCTTTTAATATGCTTTCTATATATACGTGTTTTAAAAAGTTGTCAATTTAATTTATGGACACCACATAGGCATCCCTTTTTAAAACATTGACTTTAAATTGAGAATTTTGTCATACCCGTCCTTCACTTGCTCAAAGTCTGAGTTTCTTTCTCCTGTTGAACACAAAAAAAAGCTATATTGAAGAAAGCTGGAAACCTGTAGTTATTGGCTTCCATAGTATGCGCTTTTCCTACAATAAAAGTCAATTCTTGCATGTTTTCATCAAAATATCTTTTATTCAATAGAAGAAAGAGGGTGCGTAAATGTGGAGTGTTTTGAGGGCAAATCTCCCTTTTTAAGAATAAAATAGAAATTTAGCAACCTACACAATGTTGGTTTATTTATGTGTAGGTAATGAGATGATTTTTGTTTTGTGCCTGCAGTCGCGAAGTTGGCGGAAGTGTATCCACATGAACATGGAGCTGATGGAAGTGCGCAGACAAACAGACAAGACCTTCATTTCTCTCCTCCAGGCTGTGAGAGTGGGCAGGTACTGAGCTCTTTACATGGCCGCACAGAGTGAGTCACTGGCTCCGACAGTTGGTTCAGGGTCAGATTATTTTTTATGACCCAAGGTGGTTCTTGTAGGTGGCATGTGTTTTTTTATTTTTTATTTTTATTTTATTTTATTTATTTTTTTATTCTTTATTTAAGCTGGTTTGAGAAACTTTTCAAACTACATCTTGTAATCATTGAAGTTGTGAATTGACTCAGCTGGTCGACTTGTTGATCCACCGTAACAGTGATTCTCTGTCCTGTAGAGTAACAGAGGAAGTTACAGCACAGCTACTGAAAAGTGCCAATCACTGCATTGAGAGGGATGGTATCTTAGCAACCAGGCTTTGCACACACAAGGATGATGTGGAGCTCACTAACGAGAATAAACTCAAACAGTTACCAGGTAAGTCATACTGAAATATCATTTCTTCATGTTAGGTGATGATCGTTTTAATACCACTGTCAATAATGTCGAGTTGAGTATTAACCCTTGTTTGGTCTTAGGATTCTGTATATTTCTGTGTTCTTTACTAAACCTCTAAAATAAAACGGCTAAATTGAATTTAAATTCTCAAATGTATTTTGTATAAAGAAACAACCTCATCGTTCCTCACAAATGTTAAGCAAGAAACCTGGAAATGGAATTTAATAACAAATTCTCTTGAATAACAAATTTACAACTCTTGAGTGGTTTCTTGAATAAGAAACAAAGTATAAAAGATGCTTGTAAGGGTAACTTTAAAAAGATTTGGGTTCTGTAGATTGTTAAACAAGCCATAAGTTATAAGTATAATATGTATGTATGTATGTATGTATGTATGTATGTATGAATGATTTATTTTATTTTATTAAATGATTTTTTTTATTAAAAATTTTTTTTTCAGCTTAACGGTGGTTTACTGAACAAATTCATTAATTTTCTTTCAGCTTAGTCCCTTTATTCATTAGGCATCCTCACAGCGGAATGAACCACCAACACAGCAGATGCCCTTCCAGCTGCAACCCAGCACTGAACAAATTGTGGCTCTTTACTACATAAGCTGTCATTTTCTTAGAAAACTTTAACCTAAATA